CTGTCTGTCTGTCTGTCTGTCTGTCTGTCTGTCTGTCTGTCTGTCTGCCTCTCTGTCTGCCTCTCTGTCTGCCTCTCTGTCTGTCTCTGTCTGTCTCTGTCTGTCTGTGTCTGTCTGTGTCTCTGTCTCTGTCTCTGTCTCTGTCTGTCTGTGTCTGTCTCTGTCTCTGTCTCTGTCTGTCTCTGTCTCTGTCTGTCTCTGTCTCTGTCTGCGAGCCACAGAGCCCAGCCACAGAGCCCACGCACCCCCGCAGAGTTCAGGGGCGCGGCCAAGAGAAGGACAACAGGAGCAAGGCCTGGACACAGAGCCCGGCGCAGAGCCCAGCCACCGCCACAGAGTTGACAGAGTTCAGGGGCGCGGCCAAGAGGAGGAACAAGGCCCAGCCACAGAGCCCAGCCACAGAGTTGACGGAGGACAAGAGGAGGACAAGACTTGAGGGGCGCGGCCAAGAGGAGGACAAGGCCCAGCCACAGAGTTGACAGAGTTCAGGGGCGCGGCCAAGAGGAGGACAAGGCCCAGCCACAGAGCCCAGCCACAGAGTTCAGGGGCGCGGCCAGTGAGTGTGGCCAGCTCTTTTCTTTCTAAGATAGAACCCCAACGGTAAACTGTTTGGGGAATATTACAATAATGTTATTCCTTTGTGACTTTTAATTTGAAGGGCTTTCGCTGGCAGACGGGTAGATGTGGAGAGCTTTCGTTAGAGATGAGGGACCGAGGGTCGGGGGCGAATATTCTCGAAACCCGTTTTCCTGTTCGGAATGTCAACTCTTTGTGGGGGTTCTGTTTGCGCCGGCTATGTTGCCCAGCACACGAAGCAACCGGCTATATCATGTCTCTCAAAAGACCGATGTTGCCCATCTCCCTCCATGTTACCCAGTCCTCGCCCCCAGCAGCTCTTGCCCAGCAGCTCGATTCGGCTGCTTCCAGGAGTTGAAGGTCTTTATCCCTGACTACTTCCCCGCCACCGGCAGTGTGCCTTCGATGCGAAACAATCACGCGACCTTTAGACGAGATGCCCCAAGTGAAGCATTATATAAACAAGACTACATGAGATAGCTAGCCTGCTACCCTGCAAAGTCGTGGGAGGCTTCATCCAGTAGTGCAGATCGTGTTTGTTCTGGAGGAAGCAGTGGACCCTGGGCGCTTTGAGGATCATTTTCCATTTTGGGAAGGCGATACATATTTTTGTGCGAGGTCAGATGGTGGCCGGTGGCGGTGGGAAATCCCCTGCGATGAGGGCGAGGGCCATCAAAATCCGCAGTCCGCTGGTCTCCGGCGGCAGACGCCGCCATGGCTCCGCATACACCGGCAGGTGCCCACCACCTTGGAGCCGCCGCGACCGGGAGAGGTGGTGCCCAGCAGTGGGGGGTCGTGAGTTGCAGACGGGTCGGAGGTGTTGGGGGCGTGCGGGCTCGGAAAGAAAGGTGGGGGATCCTGAAGAAAACTGTTTTTCCGGATGCGTAGCGAAGGGTTCTCGTTTAACTCTGGGGGTCTCTGGGGGTAGAGCCTTGTTCGCAACTCGTTGTCTGAGCAACCGCAACTGTTGTCAGCGGGTGTTGTTTGGAGGGGCTGGAATCACAAAACTGCTTGCAGGGCTGCTTGATGTGTGTGTGTGTGCGCGTGCGCTTTGATGGGGCTTTCCGCTGGACTTTTGGAGGAAGTCTCGTACGAAGCGCTCGTTTTGCAAAGTTGCAGTCTCGTGACGGTTGACTTTCGAGATTTTTTTCCGTCCCCCACAAGGGTGTCCCAGAAGTGTCCTACAAGACTGTCCGACAGAGTCCTACGAGAGTGTTGCGCAAGAGTGTCTCCTACAAGAGTGTCAAAAATTGTTTGGGTTTTTGTTTTCGAGTACGTGTTTGCATTCGGGTTCATGGGTTCTATTTTGTTTTTCTTTTGAAGTACCACTGACGCTGTGCTTGGCCATTCTCAAAAATTGCCTACTTGCTACAGGATGCATTTTCAGAAGCGGAAGTGGCACCTTGATGCATTAATCCTGACTCATTTAGCATGTGGTACGAGGTGGACCTGCCCGTTCAAATCCCTTTCGAAATGATCAGCACCGCTCCCGGGATTTTTTCCAAAATTCTTACAACTCTAGACACTCTCGATCTAGGGAAACATGAGGCTTTTCTCGTTGTGATCTTTTGGCCTTCGACATGACGAAAAACAATCAGGATAGATTCAACACCTTTTCCAATTCCTCTTGCAGAAGCAGACGTGACTCCCATATGATTCCAGTCTTGCAGACACAGAAACTTGACCGCTTTGGACAAGCTTCTCAGGTGGTAGCAAAAGAATCTGCATTGCCTCCGAAGGCCGTGCGTTGCAGAGAATCATGTTATGGTGTTTCCGCACAAAAGTTGTATGTCATGTTATGGTCGAGAGTGAGTATTCAACCTGAGTCATGCGTTACATGCGTGAGTGCGTTAGCGCTTGACCTGTTTTTTGCGCAGCAAGCTTTGCAGTTTTGTGTTCTTTCCACCAGTTTCAGCACTCTTGACTTGCTTCAGGAGTCGCGTGCAGCTGCGGAAGAGGCGCGTAGCTGCAATTGTTGTCAAGCAGAGGTCGCACAACGATGGTCAAAAGTGGTTTCAACCAAACAACAGGTTTATGTTGTCCGCAAGAGGTCTCTAAGAGTGCTACTGTGTTTTGGCTTGGAAGCTAGATGAATATGAACCTATGTGTGTTGGGACGCTGGCCATTTCAGCTGTTCTTTTTTCAGAGAAGAGGATCCTTGGCTGGCTTTTGCTGTCCATTTGTTTGAGCAAGATCCTGTACTGAACAGGTTTGGAAGTTTAATCCAAAGCCCCTAACTGTCATACAAACTGTTCAAACAACTTTGCCCCAAATGTAGACATCGAAGGTTTGTAATATTCGGGGTTCATCCTCCACTTGTCACAAGGTCACTGGTGGATATCTCTTTCATCAGGCACATAGCTGGATCGCTGGGTAATCTTCCTCGCATCAACGGAATGGTGAGGATAGAACTTGAAAGAACTGCAGTGTACAGCACCCCTCTCATAAGGTGGAGCATGCTTCATTTGTTTCGCTTTACTGTTGGCTCAAGATGAAAACAAGGGGCACAGCATTGTGAGTGTTGTGCTTTGCTTCTTGTTGCTTTTGAGGCTGCTCGTTGCCACTTCAAGTGGTTATCAGCCGTAGGGCTCTGATTGTTGGTGGTTCCCCCTTTTGCAAATTTTCGTCATTTGTAGCATCCTGCCCTGTGAAGGGCTTGGATGGACGAAGAGCATTTCCGCCACCGCGGCATTCATGGCGGTGCTGCAGCGAAGCGTCGCTGTGAGGCGTACATCCGCAACATTGCTGAAGATTCTTGAGTCCGAGGCTGCTGTTCATCATACAGGTGGATTGGGTTGGCCGTTGAACACCACGCGGTTTTGGGAGGCGGAACACAGTGATTCCGAAAGCGAAGGTGATTGGAAAGAGGCGATCATTCTGCCAAAGGTACGGCCCCTGAGCCCTGTCAACACCGAGTTGGTGAGGCTTGTGCCCAGGAGCGCGGTGCACTCGGAAAGTTGGCGAGGCACGATCAGCTCGTGTAAATCCTTTTCTACCCGGCCGCCTGAGCCTTTGAGTCCTCCGCCTATCATCCATCCTTGGAGGCGTGTTGTGGTTGAGGAGGAAACTGAGGTGGCCATTGAGGAAGCAGTTGACGAAGCTGCTGAGGAAGGAGTTGAGGAGATCGTTGAGGAAGAGACCGGGCCTGTGAAGGGTACAGGTGTTGCGCCAAAGGCAGATCCAATCGCGCGCGCAAGGCTTGCTGCAGCGCTACGAATTTTCGTTGCCAAGCCTACCTCGTCGGTCGTTGCTTCAGAGCCAGCGGTTGCGATCTCCAAGCCAGCTTCTGTGATCCTCAAACCTAGTTCACCAGCAGTGATCATTCGACCAGCCAAGTTTGCTCACGTTCCCAAACCCGCGACCGATTCCAAAACTTGTATTCCAGCCCTCACGGAAGCAGAGACTTGGCTTGGAAGAACGTATCATTCGAGGCCGTAGCAACAAAATCCAACGCGTTGCCTTCGAAGGCCCATTCATTGGTTGGACGAAATTTGAAGGAGGTTTCTTCCAGGGACTACCCCTGTGGAGGTCACATGAAGGTTCGGAATAATTTTTGGTGATGCGAAGAAAGTCCACCAGGGCTATTCAATGCTCGAGACTGAGTCCTCCAGATACAGTTGCACGTCTTTGACTTGGCAAATCATTCATCTTGATCGGGGCGTGCCATGTGCGAGTGGTTAGCATGGTGAGGAAAGATGATCTCAAAAGAGGCATCCTTCACCTTCTCCTCCAGTGATTGTGATCGAGGATACTGCGATTGAGGACGGTGAGATTGAAGCATTGGCGGACGTGCGACTTGATCCGTTTCATCCAAGTGTGGATCTACGAGTTTGTTGGCAGTTTGAGGTGTGTTGAACATGAGGGTGTTCCACGACTTGGTAAGCGCCTCATCGCTTTCGATTTCCATCAGGTTTTGGACGTCGACAGGGAATCGAGGTTGACAGTAAGGACCATTTCGGAGCTCACCGACTTGGCAACCGTCTGGCGGCGTTGTTGATCTTGCGGTGTGTTCCCATATTGAAAGGTCTGAGGTCAATTTGTGACTGACCGGCGCACTGGTGAGGGAGGAAAGCATCATGCATTGCGCGCGTTGACCAGTGGAGCGTTGCTCATTTGTGACGACAACGCTGAGATCATCCGAGAGTTTTTGGGCAAGTGGATCAGTTGGCTTTCAGATCAGGAAGCCTGGCTCAAACAAATTTGTTCTTGTGGTCGGTTTCAGATGGTCATGGCAGAGGGGCGCCGTTGCACGGTTAGTTGCAAAAGGTTCCAATCTTCGTTCCAGCCTTGGATCCTGGCCGGCTGCGCCGCGGGAAAACACTGCCGGAGAAAGCCAATCCCAATCATAACAACAGATCAGTCGTCATCATTGAACTTAAGGGCCGCTAGATGTCAGCGCAGCCACAGTTCAGGTTCAAGGTGGGTCACAATCGTAGAGTGGTTGATGATGAGAGCGACATTCCAGAACCAACTGCTTTCGGTCAGCAACTTGCATGCGGTCACATGATTGTTTCAAGGTCTTCTTCCGGTAAAGAGTTTGTAGTGTTTGTCGTTATGGATTTGTTTAGCAACGTATTTCAAGCATGTCCTTTGTCATCAAAAGACACGCATTCTGCGAAAGAAGCTTTGAATCAGCTCATTGGCGCGAAGGCATTGGCACGAAGGCCAAGAATCCTCAAACCATTTGCAAGTCAGGTTGCGCAAAAGAATTGTTGAAGGCCATTCGTTCTTTGGGTTGGCTGGCTAATTCCTCATTGCCTCGAAGGTGGCCACACAATAGTGTCTTGGAACGTCACATTTGCGCGCTCGATGAGTCATGTCGAAGCATGCATTTGCAAGCCGGGTTTGCAGTCGCTCCCTAGCTGTAGACACTGACGTGTCAATGCACGGCCGTCTCCATGATCATAGAGCATTGCTCCGAAGCATTTGGTTTTGAGTTCCAAGGTGCCAACTACATCTTGGGACAACTGGTGCTCTACCGGACCAAGTTTCAAGACAAGTCCAAGTTGGCCCCCCAATTCTTCACCAGTCCTCACGGGAGGTTGGAAGCTTGAATTTGGTTGTCGCTATTAAGGAGTACTGAGGCTTGTAGGTTGCAACTCATTGAAGCAAGGAAACATTTCCAGTGTTTTCGCTCCGGGTCGTGAGGTGTATGCTCGTGATGAGCGCGCCTTTCCTTTGAAGGATCTCGCAGAGAAAGCCTGAACTTGCGGATGTGGGGCTGAAACTAAGTCTAAAGCACGCAGGGTTTACATCACTCCTGGTAGGATGTTGAAGATTGGTCCAACCAAGGGTTGCAAAGGTTGCGATTCCGATTCGTCCGCTCACAATGCCGAACGCGTTGCTAGGTATCAGAAAGCGTTTGGCGCGCCTCCTTCAACTCCAGCAGTCGAACCTCCCACCTGTGAGAAACGCCGGAAATTCCAGGTGACATCTTGGAAGATGAGGATTTTGAGTATGAACAGACAAGTCAGTCAGAGGCCGAAGAGGATGAGGTTCCTGAATGACCTCCGCCCTTTGACGATGAAAATGTTGAAACTGAAGATCGTGTTCACGCTGGCGTAAACGCTGTCCTTGCTGTGTCATATGGCGCAATCGCTGCGATGCCCCAGAGGAGGTTGCGCAAAAGGCATACTCGCGCAGAGAAGGCGGAAGCTGAGAACTGCCTTGTTGCAGCAACAAAGCCAGGGCGGCTACGCTTCACCAGGTGGACATATTTTGTTTGAGTTTGCTTGCGGCTTTCGTGAAGAGCTTGGCATTCAAGCCTTTAGGCTTTGTAAAGAACACAATGACCTGCGAATAAAGCCAGCGTTGATCAGCTTGTCGAATAAGAAAGTTTAAAGCAATGCCTGGTTTTTCAGTCCATGGCTCAATTGAATCTTGGAGCGCTTGGCAGCGGTTGAATGAAGCGAAGGAAAACCGAAGGGAGAGTGTTGCCATGATGCATTCGTTCAGCAGGATTGCAAACCATGTCCTTGACAACGGTGGTTTCGTTTCGTATGGGTGGCCTAGGTACTGTTCCGGATGGATGTCTGAACCTTTGGCGTCTTGGATCACTGAAAGGCAGTTGTTATCACCCACCTTCGATGGTTGTTCAGTCGGGGTCACAGCAAAAGAAGGGGGACCAGCAAGAAAGCCATGGAGATTTGTAACCAACAACGCAAGATTAGCAGAATCTTGTGGGAAAGTTGAAACGCGCTCATGATCGTCATGCTAGTCTTGAAGGGAAGTCTACTAGGAACTCGGCCTTTTGCCCTGATCCTTTGTGTAGGCTGATGCTCAGCGCTCTGTTTCCACGTGGTCAACAGCCACGTTCCGTTCACGCCACGCGCGCCTCGAATGAAAGGCGCGCCACGAGTTCCCATTGAGGTGACGACGTACGAAAGCGGTCTCAAGAAATTTTGTCACACCCGCATTTGCATACAAGCTGCTTGACAGAGAAAAGGTGGAAAGGTTGTCCAGGAGTCTTTGAAGCAATTGGTAATGAAAAGACCGGTCTGTTGCTTAAAGGAATTTGGTTGGAAGAAGAAACTCGCTCAAAAGCTAAGGGGTTTCCAAATGAAACGTTGCATTTTGAAGTCCTCATGGTTATCGTGGGCATCAAAGGGATTGAAATGGATCCTTCTGAATGGGAGATCAAGGCCCGAATAGTGTTTAGTGGTGACACAGTCTAGGATCGGGGGGGTGGATCAGTGGTCTCGTGGCCTGGAAGTCTAAGCTGTAAAGCAAATTGCATTTCGCCATCATGAGGGCGGTCTTGAAAGAACTGCCGTGCACAGCACCCCTCTCATAAGGTTGCACATGCCTCATTTGTTTCGCTTTACTTTTGGCTCAAGATGAAAACAAGGGCGCAGCATTGTGAGTGTTGTGTTTTGCTTCTTGTTGCTTTTGGGGCTGGTTGTTGCCAGGTCAAGTATAGATGATCGAGTTTCAGGATTTTATGGTTTGTTGGGGGTTGGGGCTGGAATAAGTCAGAATGTGGCGTCAAAGCCTTAGGTTAAATAGGTGCATCACAAGTGCTTGGGCCGCCATTATTCAACGCGGGGTCAAAAAAAGACATACGACATGCGCACGGGAAGTTCAGGCCATTTGCTGCTGTTCTAATGGTGAGCAACTGGACGAGGAAGCTCTGACTCAAGTGCTGCAGCTGCTGGTGTTGTATTTGCAGTGGAACTTTGTGGAATTTTTGCCGTTCTTGTGACTTTTATTTTTGAACGCTACACTCAGCTGGGTTCTTCTCAGAACATGTTGGAGTTGTGTTTGCTCTGCTTTGTGTTGTTTGCTGTTCAAATACTGTGCCGGAGGACTTTGTGAGGATAGAAGAGGCATGGCAGTGGCAAATTATATTTTTGCACAGGTGATTTCGTTATGAAGCTTGCACTTATGTACGAACCATCTATAGTCACTCCGGATCGGAGTTTCACTTCAGGCATTTTGTTGCATGTCAAAACCTATGTAGAATTGAATAGAACTAGAACCCATGTTCTTGGTAAAAGGGTAAATCAGTAGAATTTGAATTGATTGTGTGCATTGTCATTTGTTTGACTATGTCTTTGAAAAAGTCATGTTCCCCAAAAACTTATCCCGTCCCTTTGTTCCTTCGGTGGAAACTGCACCGTTTCCACAGCCGATCACCCGAGGTGGCCGAAGAATACAATCTTCCAAACGCCGTCCTGGACAGAAACATCGCTAAGGTTCCAGTAATATAACAGCAACAGGGGCTGAGTCACCCAGATACCGTTTAACATCTTTGACTTGTCAAATCATTCAAGCTGATTCAGGCGTGCCTTGTGAGAGTTGGTTAGTGCTTGAAGTGTGAAGTTGAATAACAGTTTGCAGCACTCTTTACTTGTTTCAGGAGTCGCATGTAGTTGCAGAAGAGGCCCGTAGTTTTTCGGAATCAGACATCATTCTTACTTCCGCGTTGGAGCTTTAGAAGTAGGATTTGCAATACCAACCTTGCAATTTCCGTGAGCTAAAGCCACTTAATCAGCTGCTTTGCATCTGACTCATTGAGTTTGAGTCTGTTCTAATGTATGGCATGATTCGCAGACGTGACATGGCCTACTTTCAGCAGGAGAAATCTTCAGAAGCGGATCAGGCACATAGCTTGATTGATGATCAACGTGCACAGGTTCGACGACTTGTCACGATGTTCAAGTCAAAGGGTCAATCAAAGTCCAATTTTCTGCATGTCCCCAATTTGTGTTGGGGACATCCTGCCTGCGCGTATTCCGGGACGTTTGAAAAAAGTCAGTACATGGGATGTAATCCCTGCATCAGACGTTGTGAAAACTCTAAGTCTAAGAGTTTCAAAAGTGATGGGTTGTTGTCGTTGCAGAAACTTTTCCACATCACTTTTGGACACACTTCCCACTCAAGGCGAAAGCGGCAGAATCCCACGCATTGTCTCCAAAGACTCTCCATTGCACGGAACAGCGCAAAATATTACAAATTCATGAGTTTGTTTTTTGCGAGACTATCCCAGATATTCAGATATTCCCTGACATATAATACATCATTTACCTGAAAACCTTGTGACCTGTTGTTGAGCAGTGGTTTCATTTCGCTAAGGGGATGTTGCAGTGTTTTTACCACCAATGTGCAACGCTCTTCACATAGACTTGCTTTAGGAGTCCCATGTGGCTGCAGACGAGGCGCATGGCTGTAACAGTCGTCAAGCAGATACACAGATACCAAATATCGACAGCTGCATCGTTGGCGTTGGCTTTGATTTGGACATTCTCCCAAGCCATGTTGGCCTGCAATATTCTTGGAGGAATAGGAACCGGTAGGTGTAGCAGGCGGAATGATTCGCTCGCCACAGGTCAAGTACATCCTCAGCGACAAAAAGTCCTGTGGAGCCTTCCTGCAAGAAGCTGACGTTCGCCTGATCCGAGCAGAGTGCCTTGTTGCCGGATGATGGATTGAAACAGACAGATAAAATGCGACATACAAGACCATGTACTATTAAGTTCTACGATTACTTCTTCAAGCTCACATCAGTCGACACGCGCCTTCAAGGTGGCTCTACCACCTGCGACGATTTGACATGCCGCTGCCAAGGCGGCAAGAAGCAGACGAGCAATAAGCTATTAGGAACAAGTGCATCGCTATTAGTAACAAGTGCCTTACTAGTAGTAACAAGAAGCTATTAGGAACAAGAAAGCTATTCTGCCAGGCGGCAAGAAGCAGACCATGCGGTTTTCGGGCCCGAAGAGAAATCTGGTTTGGTGTCCCATGAAGAGGTGGCCCAGTGGGCCATGGGTCGGAAAGATGCAATCATTTGCTCGGTGTCTCATGGCTGGGAAACACGGGAACACCCTGACCCATGCCGTTGGCAGTTAGGGCAGCTGGTGGACTGCATTGCTCTCTACGACGCCGCTTATTTTTCTGACATATGGGTGTTTTATGATTACACCTCCTTGTATCAGTTCGAGCGGGAAACTACTGAGCAAGAGGACAGCTTCACTAAAGGCATGCAGAACATGCATGTGATGTATGCCCATGACTTCAATTTGACGCTCCGCATCCAACATCTGACTCCCAATGACATTTGGGATGCAGCCATGGCAGATGAGGACTTCAAGATCCCAGTGTACCATCTACCGAGTAAGTCGGTCAAAGCACTTCCTCTCCGGGAACTCGTTTCCAACAGAACGGACAACGACAAGCGTGGTTGGTGCAGGGCTGAGAAAGAATGGTCGGCAATGAGACCTGGCGTTGCTTAAGGTGAAGTTTTGCTGTGTTTCAGAAGTTTCAATAGTTTTGGCCTCAACTTAAGAATTGTAATACTCCAGTCAGCCTTTTATTGCGATTTTCTGCAGGGATCTATGAAGCAGTAAGGAGAGGCATCTCTGTCCAGAACCAAGTCATCACCGGGCCAGGTGTTGGTAGTGGAAAATTGATCGATCTCGGACTCGAGCACTTTGGAGGCAAAGTGCCACAGTTGCCACAGCTCTTTGAGCAAGACATAGCAACATCCGCCTTCACCCATAGACATGACGCTCCGGAGGTCGTGAGGCTTCAACGGAAGGTCTTTCATGAAAAGGTGACGACGAGCAAGGAAGTGAGATTGCAGTGGCTGCCATCTGGAGAAGTTGACCGACTTATCAAAGCCTTGCCCCACTTTCAGGTGCAGAACAAGCATTTGGGAGCATGAACCGTGATGATTGGTCCAAACTGCTAGAGGATGAAAGGGTAGCAACAAACCTTTCGATTTCAAGTCTGGGATTTATTCAATGTAAACAGGTCACAAGGCATCAGAAGGCATCCCGAGGCGTGCTAGGCAAGGTAGAAAGAGTCAAATGGAAAGGGGGTACACCTACCCCTCTGCGAACCTATTTGCAAATAATTGTGACGCTAGCGCAACGAATGCAGATGACTCCACTGCAGATATAATTCACCACCAAACGAACAGCTGCAGCACATCGTGAAAATTCCAGGAGCTCCGGGTCTTCCGGCTCAACCATTTCCAAACCACTATGACGCAGCTCGAAGCCTTGGGCCAGGCGCCGGGTCAGGCGACTCCATCGCTCGAGGCGTCGCTGGGACGAGCCGCTGAGGTACTCGCCGCGAAGGAGCTGCAAACGCTGGAGATCGGGGACTGCAAAGAATTCCGCGGATTCAATTGTGGGTTGAGCGGTTTGGGCAAGGCCATGCAGTGAAGGGTTCACGTGGTCGCTTTCCAGTGCGCGTTTTGGCGCGTGCAGGCGGTGGCCGAGATCGTGAAGGTCACAAAAAGCATCAAGGTCCTCATCCTTCCTGATAATAACATTCATTTATATGAAGCGCAGGCACAATTCTGGGTTCCGCAGGGCCGGTCACCAACCTTTCCCACCCCTGTCCACGTGCCATTCATTTGAACTATTTGGGGATGAGATATGTGTTTGTCACGAAAGTATTGAAGATTTTGTCGTATTCTTTGTGGTCCCTGCTCCCGTCTCTTAGGACGCTTGCAGCATTCGCAACATGTTCAACATGTCTGCAAAGTAGAGTCCCGGTCTCCACGCACAATGTTGGACAAGATTTAGTGAGGCTTCCACTTCCACACAGCACCGTCGTGTCACAAAAACATCTCAACAACCATGCCCCAAACTTCTCAGCGATTACCCTTAGGCAAAGCTCTTTTTCAATATACCGCGTTCTCACACACTCCCCCGTTTCCACATGTGGGCGAGAATGAGCGATGTTTTGGTGGAAGACACTGGTGTCATTTTGTGGGTGACAGGGCTGATGAGGATAGGGATTGGTGAAAATTGTTTGACCACATGTGTCTTTTTTCCAAAGGTCACCT